TCATCCACCAAAAGGGAAATGGTCGGATTATGTTCAGACTGCTGAAAACATTTCGCTCTTCTGAAACTGAGTTGCTTCTATAGCTTCGATGATCCTCTCAATTACTCCTAGTTATCCTTCGAGTTGTATTAAAAACGTTTTTGATATATTCATTATTTTATCTTCATCTTCCATGGGTTTACAACAAACTACTGAACCAAATCAGACCAGCCCCCTTGGTTAATTTGTAAGCTCAATTCAGGGTTAGACTGCGCGCGCTTCACTGGTCATGGTATTGCTGAGGTTCAAGGTTTCGAGGTCTTCTTACAAGAGCTTACAAGCCTGAATTTTACGACTGCGTTGTAAGGTTCCTTCTTACTGCAATGATGTTCTGTATTTAATTTTTTTATTGACTTTATCCTACAGTTCTATATGTTCATATATACATTGTTTGTTAATCACCTTTTCAAATCCTTTTTGACAGATTAAAAAGACGTCCAGTCTAACCAATTTTAACAGTTTTCAAAAAATAACTGACGTAATGACAAGGCTGTTTTTATTTCCATAGGTTAAGTCCCCCAGAGCCGATGTCGTCTTTAGGTCAGAACTGTGGTGGAAAATATATTTGGAAGATAGACCGTTTCTCTCATCACCTCCAGGATGCTAGAGATGGAAAAATAACATCACTCGAGAGCCCTCCGATTTACTCAAGCCAACAAGAGTACAAGTTCTCCATGCATTTCTTCCCGAAAGGTGTTAATGGTGGAGACGGACGCCACATTGGCCTTTTTGTTGGCATGATGCAGGGAGAATACGATACTATTCTGGAATGGCCCTTCTCTGGGCGAATCGTTCTCACCATCAAGGATCAAAGCACTGATGTTAATGGCTTCCGCCATGATATCAGTGACACTTTCGTGGCGAAAAGAAATCTGGGAGCTTTCCAGAAACCCACTGCTACCGGGTCATACAGCAACCTGTATGGCTACGCAGAGTTTGCGCCCACAGCTCTGGTTTGCTCCCCACAGTACTTAAGGGATGATACTGTGATGATTAAGATAGAGATTCATAAAAACATCTAAAAATTTTTCTTTATAAGGAAGCACAACGTCTAGGATGTAAAAACTCGATAAAATGATTTTGACTCTTTTTAAATCAAAATACATCCAAAATAGAAAAACAGCAAGAGCAAGCTTCAGTTATTACAGTAATTTCTATAAAGAAATGTTAGTGCATTGAAATATATCGCTCTGAACTTCGCGTTAGGTCTTAGATAAGTTTATTATTACTATTATTTTTTTTACCATTCTACCGTGATATTTTCTTAATAATGACAATTTAACACAAACCTACATCTAAACCCTTTTTAAAAGCGCCGAGGGTGATTAGCAACAAAATTCTCCTTTTAATATCAAAGCGTCAGAAAACAGTGTGGTAACGAGATGAAACAAGTCGTATTCTTTGACACAGTTTCACAACTTCTTGTCCCGGCCACTTCATCCATAGGACTGAAATGTACAGGGACAACAAATGAGATTGTAAATTTTGATATTAGGGCTTCAAAGGGACCCTCGCACGATGTTTGTTCAAAAGAGGTGTCTGTTTGATACATATGTTTTATAGAAAAAAAAAATTGAGAAGAAAATTTCGTGACTCGTTGACGCTTTGGTGGGTGCACTGGAGAATGAGACTTTTCTACATAAGCGGGTAGCGGTTGTTATCGGTCCCAACTATCGCTAGAGTTCAATGCTGCACATGCAAATACCTACAATAAATATATGGATAGATGTAACGCTAGAGAACCGCCTTTATCGTTATTTTTGCGTGGCAATAAGGATTATGATGTTAATATATGCATCAAAATGTGAAACATTGATTTGCAATCATACTAATATCGCATCGATTTGAAACTGATACCGCGTATAGTTACCAAAGGTGATAATTGTTTGTTCCTCGTAGAAGCTAGGCCGGAGGGAGTGGGTAGGGAGTGTAGGGTATCAGAGACAGTGGTGCAAGTTTTCCGTTTTTTTTGGTGAAGACCTATATTCTGCAATGTAGTCATAGTGTATAGCTGTAAATTATAAAGGGGGTGGCGAAAGGTTTTCTTAGATATAAAATGTCACGTCATTTTAAAAACATCGGCACTTGTCATTTTATGTTGCAATGAAGGGGGTGAAAGCGCGCTTCCGCCTCTAGGGAGTGGTGCTTGCCGTGGAGCTATAATTCTCTTTTGCCAAAAGGTTTGATGGAGATGATTCTTTCGCCATCCCTATTTTATACATAGAAAAAGGCTTTTGTAAAG